TTATGGATATAGTATTTGATAGAGTCATAATGAATTAAAATAAAAAAAAAAAAAGATTACATATAATTGTACGGCTGTAACACCAGCAGTCACCCATCCAACTACTAACCACGCTCAATGTTGTTTAACTTTGGTGATATCCGTGCGCCTTGAAGTTCCCGCCTGCTGTGCTGCTATCTTATGTGATAACAAATCTATGAAGTACATAACGTATCGAATAAGTTCATCATAAATATAATATAAAAATTGATTTTATAATATATTTTGATAGTCCTAATTTATTTATTTAACCGAATCTCATTATAACATCACATTTATTTAAATAATAAAATAAGTAATGATTTTAATATTAGGCAGAAGCAGAGCAGACTGAAACATCCAATAGGAAATGTAACAAATTTTTTATTTCAAAATTATTTAAACGTAATGATAAAAATAATTTTGCACTTTTTGTGATGACCAAAAAAATTTTTTTCATCAAAGAAAAATTTTTTATCACATCTCTGACTATGCAAGTCTGATCAGATCTATGGTATATTCTATACCCGGAAAAAAATGATCAGACCTGACCATGTCTGTTCATGTATGATCAGGCCTGAAATTAGACCTGCTCATGTCTGTTCATGTATGATCAGGCCTGAAATTAGACATGGTTATGCCTGTTCATGTCTGAAGTGTTAAATACGCTCAGGCCTGATCATACCTGTCCATGTCTGTTCATGCCTGTTCATGTCTGAAGCGTTAAATACGCTCAGGCCCGATCATACCTGTCCATGCCTATTCATGCTAAGGACCAAATATGCTAAGAAAAAATTTTTGAATATGTTCAGTGTATGTACATTAATTTCGATTAATAAATTTGTAAATTATCAATAAACGGTATATTTTATTATTCAATAAATAAAAGTATTTTGATTATCATTAAAAACCTACCGTAGGGTAATTTTAATTATTTTTTCTTGGCATGGACAGGCATGAACAGGCCTGAGCATATTTAATGCTTCAAACATGAACAGGCATGAACAGGCCTGATCAGACATGAGCGTATTTAACCCCCATCAGACATGAACAGGTATGGACAGGCCTGATCAGACCTGAGCGTATTTAACGCTTCAGACATGAACAGGGATGAACAGGCCTGATCAGACCTGAGCGTATTTAACCCGTCAGACATGAACAGGCATGATCAGGTCTAATTTCAGGCCTGATCATGTATGAACAGACATGGTCAGGTCTGATCATTTTTTCCCGGGTATAGATTGTTATACTATTAATAATCAGTGTACATAAATCACTCGTACTATCGAACTTATTGAAGTATTTAATAAAAAAGAATGTATTATGAAAAATTTCAACAAATTAATTTCTAGCCACAAAAATGCCCATTTTTTTCAAAATAAATTTATTCTTTCAGTGTAATTACAAGCATTTACGGAAAAAACGTAGCTGCTACGTGTGAACGGTTTGAAGACTTTCAATTCAATTTTTTAAAAAATACATTTTTTAGTATTAATTGATTTTTTAAATAAAACCAAACAATGATCGAATATGTCAGTTAACTTTCGTATGAAGTTTTTGGATACTTTTCACAAAATGAATTGACAAATTTATAGGAGTAAATTCAATCTGCAAATTAAAAAAATGCACATTTTGCAATTGCTTGAAATTTTTAATTAATTTCTTGAAAACATCACATTTTTATTTCTTAAAATTTGTAAGAAATAGAATAATTTAAAAAATACCATTTTTTTAAATGTCAATTTTTTGATATTCAAATTATATTAAAATCATAATTAAAAATAAATATTTATACTTATATGGTTAACCAAATTTTTATGAGTATCTGATTTGACTTACATATTTTTTCGCTTTAGTACCACTTTACATAAAAAAAATATTTTTTTTTCTTTTTTGTTGCTTACATATTTGTAAATTGAATGTAATTTTCCATATTACACACTAAAAAGTTATTATAAATCCGTTTACTAAACATTAATTTGGTATGTTCTTTGTTGTAAATAATATTTAGATATAAAAAACTAATCAACGATCGAATACTTTAATCTTAATAAAAATGATAATTTTGATTTACGATAATCGATTTAATATTGTAATTCAAATACTCTTAGCACCAACAATTATCAAAAAAACTACATTCCATTATTTATAATCTCGTACAGATTTCTATGAATACTCATAGAAATCATACATTTATGTTAAATAATGATTATAGGGATTGAGAAAGAACTGTAGAGGCAGCACTCCTGCTGAAAGTGAAGCGCCCTGATCAAAGAGTATAAGATCTTATACTCTTTGGCCCTGATGTTATAAATGTAAAGCATAGTGATGTAAACAGTGTAATCAATAGTATTAGTTGAAATTAAAAATGAAAAAAATAATTAAATTCGGGTTTTTGCCTGTCAAAAATACCCATATTATGATATTTACAGGATGAAAATTGATGTTAGTTACTATAACTATTTTTTTACAATTATTTCATACAACATTAAAAATATGATAAATCTGGTTACGTCGAAGTTTTTTAAACATTGTTTTCAATGCTCATAAATTGACGAAATTTATAATTAAATATAAACCTGGTAAAAAGATACCATACTAAAATTAGCCGACGTTCAACATTTTTTGCATTTTTTTTTCAACAATTGAATTGCAAGTAAAAAAATACTTTTAAAAAATTGCACGTATAATTTTTTAAATCTTCTAAATGTAAAATTTTTTCTTTTGATTTTTTTGTAATAATTTTTTTAAGGTAGTTCTTTCCCAACCTATAGTTTATGCTACTACTGTCTTTTTCATTCGCCTCTCTTAGTTTCGTCTCTCTTACGGGCTATCGCTCACTTACCTCCACGCATGACTTTATTTGTTTACTTTACTAGTTTATCAATGATTTCTCAAAAACTATGTGGTGGGGAATTCCAGAATTTTATAGGATAATTATACATGTATTAATCTAAGTAATATTAGTTTTTCGTGAAAATTTTAAAATTTCTTCAATACAAAAATAATAAAACTTTGCGGTTTTCTCTCTCTTTTCCCATCCCGCCTGTGTAAAAATGTCATTTTCAATTGCAATTATCTTCGGTTAGACGTGGTAAATCGTCTCTAAATTTTAACAGGGTGTGTATTATGTATTTAAATACTTCTATACGGAGTTTGGGAGACTTCTTGAATTTTTGCTTTTTGGGCCCAACTACCTTAATAAAAAAAATTATAAAAATTTTCAGATGTCGGCTAATTTAATTTTCATTGAAAAGATGACACTGAGATCAGCCGACATTTGACAATTTCTTAAATTTTTATAACAAATAAATTATAATAAAAAAAACACTTTTGAAAATTTGTGCGTAAGGTTAAAGCCCCAATAGATGCTCATGTACCAGTAGTATATGATCATTCCATGTATTTGTGTATCTATATTTGTGAATATAAGGTCGTATTTTAGAAAACATTCCATGTCAACAATCACAAGTTTCAACTAATTGTCAATAGTTTTCGAAATTGTCATTGAGAATAGTGTTGGGGTTATTTTGCACTCAACTCATGTATTAGTAAAGTCATCATTACTGTCTAACGCAGTAATCTTACTGGTTTTACATTCACATGTATCTTACCGTCATATTGTCGAAAATTTATCTGTCACAGAGTTAAATTTACTTTAACCTACCAATACTTTTACATGGATGAAGTAGACAAAGAATGACTTATAGTATAATTGGATGTAATATGCTGAGATTTCTATCACGCTACTTATGATACTGATAGACATGCATTAAAAGAGAATTGTTGAAAATATCCTTGGCCTTAATAATTTCAACTAAATTATATACAGCCATTATTTTACAACTAATAAAATAACAAGCGAAATTAATCCGAAATATATTTGTGTATTTGTTTTTTGTATAATTTACCATTTTAAAATAAAATTATGGAGATGTTTTGCTAATTTCAGTTTCATTCGATCATTACTTTATTAATTTATTATAGAAAATTTTTGTAGATATGATGAAAAAATGTTTTTTAAAAAGTTTGTTAAAAAACAACAAAAAAGACCTCTAATAAAGTTTAAGTATCGTCATTATTGTAGAAGTTATGAGCATTTTATAAATATTTTTTCAAAATCGACCACTTCGATACGTGTTAAGATAGAAAGCTAAAAATTTACATGGATACTTCGTTTTGCATCTATAATAATTTATCAAACAAGAAAAAAAAATTGAAGGGCATCACCAAAAAGACGTCATTGAATTAACATGTAATGATCCATATATTTGCTATACATAAATATGTACGTCACATAATTTTTGTTGAAATTAAGCATATATTTCTGATTTGCATGAAGAACTCAGTAATATTATCGGCTATAGTCGCAAGAGACTCATCTACGATTTAAGTTTGCATTCATAATGAAGTCAATATCCGAACGTTATCTGTAATTACCATCCTCAATAGAGATGTTATAATAGATGTTCCCCTTATCGTGGGCTGCTACCAAGAATTGAGAAAATTTTATTTTATAACTTACAACTATTTATGAAATGTGATGAGAAAAAGCTGTTTCGATACAAAAATTTTATGTTATTTAAAATTTGGCAAATTCTTGTTTTAAATCCAATTATTGAAAATTGAGTATTTTTTCAGGCATCGATAAGGCATTCTATTTCAAATTAACCACTTATAAACCCGACTGCTTTCGATTTGACCGGTAATTTGTTATTTTCAGATTTTTCTTTTATTTTTTTATTTTAGAGTTTATTGTGTTATCTAAAAAAAAACTCTGTTTTATTCTTTAAATAATTCCGAGTTGCACGGGTCGACTTTTTGAATCCATTTTTTCAAATGCTATAAATTTATAAAATATTGTAATAACTTGAATATGTAAAACATAATTCTTATAATATTCCTTATTTATTCATAGGTTTTAACTATTTAAAAGGTAATCTCATAAAATAACGTCTAAAAAAACAATTAAAATAACTTACCAAGAAGAGTGTGTAGACTGATTAGAAGGTATAGAAGACAAAGCACCAGGAGGCAAAGATCTTCTAACTTGACAACAATTTCTTTGTCCACCCACACTATCCCCACAGCATGATTGACTCGGTCTAATAGTAGAAGTAAACTCTATCGCGGATGCACGAACTTTCGGTCTTAATGAAGGTGAAGTAGAGAAATCTCTTTGAACTGATGTAGAGCTACTTGAGCTACTTGATCCAGGACTACCTCCTATTCTACCAGGTGATGCATACGCAAAACCACGAAAGCGAAAATGAGATTGATGATATGGATAACCAGGTGGTGGTAGTCGGTAATGGTGATGAAATCCCAGATCTCGCCTCATATAGGGGTCACCTGGATCTGCAGTCGGCACATACGTCGGTGTATGCGCCGTGGATGATACGTACCTATCGACGTATCTCTCAGGAAAAAGAACCTCTGGAGGTGGTTGAGGAACATACCTCTCAACAGGAGTATGGGCATTTGGTGGTACATAACTACTAACACCTGAAGGATTACCAAATCCCCTCGCTTCATTACCATTAATTACTGATGAACAAGATGAAATTATTCTGCCTGTTGGATAATTATCCTTTGGCTTTGGCAACGATAAGTACTTGTCTCCAACTACGCGAGCTGGAGAAAAACTTTCTGAATTTCCATGATAACGTTGTTCACTTCCTTGATATCGGTCATTTCCGGCTGTCGAGTTGGAATACTTATCGAATCCGTACATTCGCTCTTGATTTGAGTGTTCATATTGATCCGAGCTTGTAAGCTGATAACGATCGTAACTAGATATCGATTTTGAAACTTGAATAAACTTATCACTTTTTGTCGATACTTGATTTTGGTAGCTACGGATTGTACCATTGTTGTCCAACGGTGGTGATTGTTGGTTAAAGCGATCGTTTGATGTTTGTCCTGAACTCGCATACAAGTTTTGATACCGACTATTCTCAGATGATGATGGTGACGAAGAAACGAGAAGTCTTTCAGTCGAAGAAGTGCTAGCATACCGATTAGATTCTGAAGTAATTCTTCCATCATGAGTCGGAGACAAGCTAGAAAGATAGCGATCATTAAATCTATCATTGGATCGTGATTGGCTATAGCGCTGCAGTGTGAGATCGTTGAAACGATCTGCTGAATATCTAGATTGTCCAGCTGTATCTTGAAAGGTTGAATATCTACAGGAGTACTCTGTTGGGGCAGGTGAGTTTGAGCTGGTGCATCGATCACTTCGTTCCGAATACTTAGGATATTGTTCAGTTGAAGGAAAACAACGTGGTTGGAGTGCATCTGTTGTAGATGAATTAGCCAAAGCTCTTTCCGTCGATGAATAACGGTGGTGTAAATTTTCTGGATTTTGAGTACCAGAGAGATACCTCTCACAATTTGCGATTGTAGAAAATCTGTCATGATAGATACCCAATGTTTCTTGTCGTTGATAACGCTCATGGTTTGGAGATTCAGAGATGAATCGATCTTTAGTTTTGCTGGCGAACCTTTCTGGCACGGGTGCATGCATCGGCGAAGATGTGACCAATCGTTCTGGAGACAGTGGATATCTATTAGATTCAGTACTAGCAGTTGATACTGAAAAAAGATTAACGGAGTCACGCTGAAGACTACACAGTACTGGAGACCCATTAACCAAGAGACGCTCAGTGGAAGATGTATATCGTTGCTGTTGATCTTTGGCATCGTGTGTTGCATTGGTACTGGTTGCACTGTTTGCTGCCAACAATTTTTCAGCAGATGCGAATCTATTTTTAAGTATTGGTGATGCTGGTGCAGTTCCGTACCTATCTCGAGTGTTTGGAGATCCAGATTGTAAAATCCGATCACCAGAAGGATAACTAGCCAAGCTGTGAGTCGAGGTATACTTATCACTTGGACTCGGAGAAAGCGGAGGAGGTGGTACGAACCGGTCATTCGTAGGTGCTGGAGATGGTGGCGAAGGAAATGTTTCTGGTGAGAACGGCTTACCAGTGGACAAAACAAGAATCCCTGAGTTTGCGTATTCACCAACTGTCGATGTTTTTGGTGATGATCCCGAAGTACTGTCACTCTGAAAACGATCCATACGTTGAAAGCGATCGTTTGATTGCAATCCCAATCGTTGATCGGAGATAACAGAGTTAGCCTCAGAGTATCGAGGAAGTTGATTGATACTACTTTGCGGTACGGACTGTTGCTGTCTTGAGTATTGATGAATATTCTGATTTCCCCCCGAACATATAGAAATTTGGTTAAATTTTTCGGAATTTTGAGATTTACTGAATCGCTCGCAGCAAGACGATATTGAACGAGATTGTTCACCATACAAAGTTGTGTCATCAATTTGCTGTGATTGTAGTTTATCACTCTGTTTTTCATACTTGTCCATTGTGCTTTGAACTCCATAGTTATTTGACACGCTTGACTGAGTCTTCTCGTTGCTTCCAGAGTAACCTTCGCATGCCTTCTGGTAGCGTTCTGGAGAAGTACCGCTGGATGGTGGTGCTTTTGACTCTGATTGCTTTTGATAGCTTGACAAATCGTTATTAATGCTATTATTATTACAGGTATTCGACACAATTTGTGATCCCGAAATTGTGGGATTACCTCCTGACACTGATGATACTGATGACACTCCGAACTGAGAGGCTGGATTCTGATGCAATAGAAGACGTTCTCTTCGGCCATAGTCATCGTCTGTCGGCATCCTGGTGGCCCGCGGCCCGCTGTCAGGACATCTATAAAATACCAAATAAAAATAATTATTGATTTGTATAATACAACGTCGTAAATTTTATTATTTTGTTGATTTATTTCATAATTTATTCATGATAATTTTTCAAATTTTTATTTATCAAGTTCATAACATTTAAACGCAGCTACGAATGAGGACTAGACAGGAAATAATTTTCGATCAAAAACTTGAAACAACTATTCGTGTAGATTATCTCAAAAACTTTCTTTTATTTACGAGCTCTTGAAAATAAATCTATTTACATGGAATTGGAATTTTGTAACTTTAAAAACCGGGAAGAAAGCTATTAACAAAAGACGGTTGAGAATTTTTGAAAATTACTTTTTAACCCTTTAGAGTCAGAGGATCTTGAAACGTCTTCGTGTGAGAGGAGTGGGGAGAGCGCAAATCCATAGTAAGACCCAAGAGTAGGGTTTCAAGGTCAGACTCTAAAGGGTTAAATTAAAAATTACCCACAAACAATGTGAACCTTATTATATTCAGAGTAGAACCATTCTTATGGATGAAATGAATTCTCTCGAGACCCTTTAGATGCTTATTATGTGACATTCGACTGTAATAAATAATGTCTCCCCACGGAATACTGTCCAACTCATCACTCGTGCACCAAATACCTGAATACGTGACGGCTGTCAGACGCATAAATTTGCCGGATTATTTGCCACTAATTAATGCCCTAGTGCATTACGATCACCTTGCGTATATCTTCGATGAATCGATAAATTATCATTATTAAGTATGACTGTCGATATTGGTAATTTTAAATTTCTTGATAGAAAATTACGTACACGGGAAGAACAAGATGATATTGAGTACTATCCGAAATTTTTTTTTTACCTCAGATTTAACTGAGTATAATCTGGAATGGGAGCCAGTATCATCTTGCTTTTTTCGTGTAGTTAAGATAAAAGTTATTTTTTTTAGCTCGATAGCTTTTTATAGTTAGTTTTCAAGTTTGAAATGTATTTAAAAAAAATTAACTGTAAAAAAAATGGACCCCAAGGTATCAATTTTGTCACCTGCAGTGGTAGTATAGTAACACTTAAATAGTATGGGACACATCTACGAAGTTATCAAACTTGTAAAATAGAGTAGAAGTAGATTATATAATTTGTTTAGACTGTTCGTCAATGTTCGTCCTTCGCTTGGGACATGTGCTACAGCTCATTAAATTTAAATATTATAGGAAAAAGTTTGGAAAGTCAAAAAGTTCACGCCTCTAAACGCTGATTTAATATTTGAGATAAAAATAAATCGCATTACTACTATTACAATACAATAAAGCAGAAAGAAGAAAATTCCATTTTTCATAGCTGTTACAAAAACAAATCAGAAAAATGATAAAGAGCGCGTATATACGAGGCATCTCACGCCGAATCGCATGGATTGAAGAGTTTTCATCTTTGATTTTCCTAATCTATTAACATTTTTAAGTATCCATCCAAAAATCCTTCCTGGTTAATTTTGAGATTTCTTCGACTATTCGTTTAAAAAATATCGAATTTAAAAAAAAATCGCTCTTTCGGTTTTTTGTTCATGACTTTAACAATGAAACAACAAGAGCTTTTATTTTATCTTTGTTTTTTGCATAGTTTTTAGAAAACATTGTCCAGTGTTCACATATGTAACTTGTATATTTTAAACTTGAAAAATTTTTTTCAAAGTGAGTACATATTTTGATTTTTTCCAAAATTTATATTAGAGTATTATCTTTTTAACAACTTTTGCGTTCAGTCTGGTCGTAGGATTTCCATAATTATTTATTTATTGGATTTATATGCCAAGGCTTATAGCCGGATGGCAAATTGTACAATGTCTAGTATAATTAATGAATTTCACCATAATTACTATCTTTTTTCAATTTTTTTAAATTTCAAAAATTTTTTTTATGCTCTGTCATGGCTTACAATTATTGTCACTATTGTTCTCAATGTTACTGAAGCTGATTGAAAATTTAGAGTTCCAATAAATTCTTTGTCACTAATGTTGAGATATTTTATATTTGCATTGAATTAAAAGAAAAGTCGTCAACTATTGTCAATAGATGAATAAAACAAAACTTTCAATTTTATAATATTTTTTGCTGAAAAAATTTCTCAAAATATAATTTCATTTCGAGCTTCTGTGTAGTATAATACAGATTACTGAAATTACACTATTTACAAGATAAAATTAATTATTCAACATATCTCAATTGACATGTTATTGAATTATTAAAAATAAAGTATAGTTATTTAGATTTTCACCTATTTTTGTCCATACAAGATCGAAAAATTATCTTTTTCAAAGGTTTTTTTTTTGCACGACATACAATGCGATGTGTTTCAGTTACATAGAGCTATACTCTCAATTTCTTAAAGTCAAGAAAATTTCTGGAATGAAAATTGAAATTTAATTATTAACTCATTTAATATTTCTATTCATTTTGTTTAATAGAAGCAAAAATTGATGACAAAAATTTTTTTCATGGACGTCCGGAAATCTGCTTATCTGGATTTGATTATCTAATACGGTAACTTCCGGAAAACTTCACGTACCAAGATCATTTTTTTATTGGCTTCAGAATTACAGCCAGTATTTTCGAATTGATGATATCTCTCTAATTTAGTGTCATTTAAATGTAATTAAATAAAAAACATTGTCTGGTCCTTTGTATATGTATATGTATATATCTATAAATCAACTTCAACCGTGAGCGACGCATGAGTGCTAAACGTCATCTGATTTATACACTGATAGAAAAACAATCTTGATTCAAGAAACTTTTTTTCTTCAAAACTTGAACTCTTGAAACTAGATATAGATATATTTCTTTCAAGAATTTTTGTCTCTTGGTTCAAGATAGGCGATAACATTGATTCAAGATGTTACCGACTTGTGTTAAGAATGGCTTTTTTTTGAGCCATTAATTTACTTATTTCCAAGAAATAATTTTTTTTTGGTATAACAATTAAAGACTATTTAGTTTTTGAAATATACTTTGATGAATTATTTCAAGTTTTTTAAACGATAATGTTATTTTGATTGAAAAACTTAAATGTATCGATTGAAGATAAAATATCTCTTAAGCCAAGAAAATCTAAATCAAGACAAGAAATTCTTAAAGCAAAATAATCATTTGTCTTCCAAAATAAATTCTTAGATCAAGAAAATATCTCTTGAGTCAACATAAATTTTCTATCAGTGTAGTTATGCGCTTGCGCTGTATTTTTCACATCTAAGAAGATGCCACGATATTTTTACCTTTGAAAATTAAAAAAAAATTTATTATTTACTTATTCTTATAACAATGATTTAAGAATGAACATATTTTTTTAATAATTTTTCTGTTTCTTCGTTTATATTATGTATCGAAAATAAATATTTCTTTATTCCGGTTTACTTTTAAAATCGACAATGTAAATTATTTTTATCTTAATTTAAAATTAAAATGAGCGTTGAGACGCGCACTTTTGTATTTTCCAAACTTTTTATTCTTAAGTTTTTTTTCTATTTGAAGATAATATATCCAGCAAAGATAAATTTAAGCACAGTATTTTGAAAATAAAAAAAGACGCCATTCGGCCATACCCGAAATGGAAGGTAGATTTCATAGAATGAATTATCGTCTTGTATCAATAACTTTCGTTTGACATGGATAGGTTGTATTACACATTGCCTGAAAATGGTTCAATTGAACTCTTAACTTTGATAAAATAACTAAAAATGGTCAAAATGTCAATGTTATAT